CAGTTTGGATTCTTCAGTCAGAGTTGTTTGACCAGAATAATTTTGATTCTAATGATATGATCTATAATTATAAGGATGATCATTAGTGACAGTGCGAGATAGTTGGCGAATAGGACCAATATTACTACTCGCTTTATGGTTAATAATGCGGTTAACTGAGTATGATTTGACTCCACCGATACCATTATAATAATCATGATCATGCTCACTTTGCTGAGTGCGATTTGAACTTGCAATATAGTTTGAGAAGTTGTTTGAGTGACCATGACCTGAGCTGGCATGATTAGGATTAAATTGATAGTTATAATCTTTAAACCATGGGCCAGAATCATTGTGGTTAAAGCCAGAATCATTGTGGTTAAAGCCAGAATCATTGTGGTTAAAGCCAAAATCAGTGTGGTTAAAGCCAGAATCACTGTGATTAAAGCCAGAATCAGTGTGCTTAAAGACAGCATCACTGTGGTTAAAGCCATAACCATAGCCATAATCTAAGCCATTCAGATCATAGCTAGAGTCATATCTATTTTGTCCAGAGTCTACTGTTCTAGATCTCATATGACATTTGTTATTGGAATTGTAAAATGGATCATCATTTTTGCTTTTGAAACCGTTATCAAAACTATAACTTCTCGCATGTAGGTTATGCTCTGAGGAACTTTTAAAATTAACTGTAATGGATATCTCATCATTTTTAACTAATGAATTGAAATCAAAATTCCAAGACTTAGCTATGTGAGTCAAAATTAAATTTGTTATACGTCTATGAGCAGTGTTATCCCAATGTATACCATCAGTTGCCCTTCTGTTTAACTGGGTACGTAAATGAAAGTGCAAATCTAGGACATCAAATTTGTGATAAGCCACAATCTCTCTGGCATAATAATTAGCTTCAATAATGTCTAGACGTAAAGTACCATTTCGGAATTCCACTTCTGGAATCAGAAATCCACCTCTGGCATTCCTGGAAATTGGTAACGTACAGTTCCAGACAAATAAACAATGTGGCGGCAGTGTCTCTTTAAA